ACCGAGAAGTTTTACGGAATTAGGTGCGCTCAAGAAAGGTAACCCCAACCTTTAGTTGCTCTGCTTTTTAATATAAAAAAAAAAAAAACTTATCCATACCTAATTGTACATGAAATTGGAACATAATAATATAATCAAAGTGGTTATGTACCATCAAATGTAAATTTGAAAAATGTAGACATTTATGTCAAAACATGGTGGGCCATTTCTTTTCAAGTCTGCATATGTCCATCATATTCATATACAAGGGATTGTACTTATATTTAATAAATTTAAAACTTATGGTGAATTTTTGTGGCTTCACTAAAATTGGGTGAAATTATTTTTGTCAATATATCAAATTTTTATCTTTAAAAACAACTTTTTATAATTATATTCTTATGACTCAACTATTATTTGTTATCGTGCAGTTCACAATGTATGTCCAACTATCGAATAACATATGGGTTAAACTTTTTATTTCATATATTTAGAAAATAATCAATATCTAATGTGTAATGTCAATATATTAAATTTCAACTGAAAACACTAATATTTAGTAATTATATTCTTATGAATGAACTATTGGTTATCTTGTAGTTGTAGCTCACAATGCAGGAAAAACGGCCAAAATCAACTCCAACTATTTCCATGCGACTTTTTTCAACCCAAACTCTGACCCCCTGTACTTATTAACCCGAAACCACATAAATTTCAAATAATAAACTTGAACTATATAACCGTTAGCCAATTTCAACATATACATGTTTTTTTTTTTTTTTTTTTTTTTTTTTTTTTTTTTTTTTACTTTAAATTTCCATTAATTAAAAGAAACAAATTACAAGACCCAAAGGCCCAAAAAAAAGCACGCAGGCCCAACATACATGGCAAAAGCCGAACTAGGCACGCAGGCCCAACATACAAGGCAAAAGCCGAAGGGGCTCGCAGGCCCAAGACGGAGGAGACTGAAGCACAAAAGCTAACAGGCCTAAAAGAAAGCCCTGAGGCCCAAGGAAGAAACCACCTGAGACAGAGAAGGGAAAAGATCACTGGAAGATGGAAAACCATGTAGCTAACAGAGTTAACGCCGGTGGGATGGTAGGCTGATCTCTAGAAAGAGGATCTAGTCGCGCTCTGACTAACACTTTTATTTCCTTGATGATCACAGCAGCAGTCCTAGGAGTAGCGAGGTGAATCCGTTGATTCCTCTCACGCCAAATGAGATAGATAGATGCTTGGTAGAGCAATTTGAGGATTAAACCAACGTTCTTGTTCCTCGAGGAAGTTTTTAGCCACAAAAGGCAGGTCATGAACTGAGGTGGCGGTTGGTGATTAGTTCTTTGGGTGAAGTGAAGCCAGATTTCTTGGCTGAAGCTGCATTCAAAGAACAAGTGATCCCTGGACTCGTTCTGGGAGTTGCAGAGGATACATATGGCAGGGACAGCAAGACCCCATCTTCTCAATCTGTCTCTAGTGTGTAGCCTGTTCCACGCAACAACCCAAGTGATGAAGGCGTGTTTGGGGATGCATGGATCCTTTAAACCACACGGATTTTGTCCAAGGGATAATAGCAGGAGAAGGATTTAAGGCCAGCCACGTTTTTGCAGTACAGAATCTGTTTGAAGGAGCATGATGATCCGGTTTCCATAGGTAGGTATCATCATGCTGGCATTCAAGCACACTCTCGCAACCGGGCAGAGCCTCTCTGAGCAAACTAATAATAGGATTCCTACTCCTGGAAGAGGATATCCACCAAGTTGTACCTCTGACCGCATCCCTAACCACAGACATCAATGGCAGCCCGGTTACCTGTGGTCCCCGAGGACCAGTTATGTCAAGCAGGGGACCTAGGCCTGTCCAATTATCCAACCAAAACATTGCAGTAACACCGGAGCCTACCTCACAAACAAGAAAGGGCCTGGCAATGGATCTAAGTTTGCAAAGCTTTTTCCACACCCAACTACCAGAAGAAGCCGGATTCAAAGTCCAGAAGCTGCGATTCCCAATTAGATGCAACCTCACCCAGGACACCCATAAGGAACCAGCTGCAGTGAATAGCAACCAAATCAACTTGAGCGCAAGAACAGTATTCCAAGAAGATAACCTCCTTAGCCCCAAGCCACCACTCTCTTTTGAAGTGCAGATAACCTCCCACGAAATCTTGGCTCCTCTAGCAGAGTTTGGAGCGCCTCTCCAAAGAAAAGCATTGCACATCTGCTCTAGCTTGGAGATGCATTGATTTGGCAGGATGAATATGGAAGCCCAAAAACTGATTGTAGAGTAAATCACAGATTTCAAGAGTTTTAACCTTCCTGCAAAGGACAAATGTCTTGCTGTCCAAGATGAGAATCTGTAATTGATCTTATCGATGAGAGGCTGGAAATCCTGCTTCCTCATCTTGTGAGACGAGAGAGGAACACCTAGATACCTTACTGGCAACGCCCCATGAGTTAAACCAAACCTCTCTGAGACCAATCTGTTGTGTTCAAAATTCCCTCCATCAAGCATAAGATCTGTTTTCTGTCTATTTATTCCCAGCCCAGAACCTTTCTTAAAGTCTTCCAGAATGTGAAGAATGCCCTCAATGGAAGATTCAGAACCATCGAAGAACACCAAGACATCGTCAGCAAAACTGAGATGTGTGACTAAAGGGGCATAACATTTAGGATGAGGCTGAAACAATCCATCAACGACGCCTTTATCCAGGGACCTGGCGAGAATATCCATGACTAGGACAAAGAGATGAGACGACATGGGATCTCCTTGTCTAATCCCTTTCTTTCCCTGGAAAAAACCAACAAGCTCACCATTAAATGCGATGCTATAAGAAGGAGAGGAAATGCAAACTCTTATCCAGTTAATGAAAACATCAGGAAGACTCATGGCAGTGAGGATATTAATAAGAAAATCCCAATTCACATTGTCATAGGCCTTGGATAAATCAATCTGCAAGCAGCCTGTTGTTGTAAGCCCCTCCACATGGAAGTTTTCAACTAACTCGGAAGCCAGAAGAACATTTTTACATAGGAACCGGCCTTTTATAAATCCCACCTGGTTATTTAGAACAGTATCAGGAATAAAGAGTTTGAGTCTCTTTGAGATTAACCGGGTGATTATCTTATAGACAGTGTTACAACATGCAACGGGTCTGAACATAGATAGCTGATCCGCTCCTGGCACTTTAGGGATTAGGGTAAGAGCAGTAGTATTGAATTTCCGGAGAAGGTGGCCAGTTTGGAAAAATTCTCTCACTGCAGCCACTGTACTCTCTTTAACCACCTGCCAGGATTCCCAAAAGAATTCAGAAGAGAATCCATCAGGTCCTGGAGCCTTGTTTCTGGGCATGGCAAAAAGAGTAGAGGTGATCTCCTCCTCACTGGGTATCTCAATAAGCTTAGCAGCCAAGTTCAACATATACATGTTATTATATAATATAACAAACATGAATTATGTAACTTTTAGCCAATTGAATAAAATGAATAATTTAGAAACAAATAAATAAATAATTACGACTTAACAAATCTAATCGACATTAACAAATACCAAAATTTTTTTTGTTAAAATTGGCTAACAGTTACATAGTTCATGTTTGTTATTTGAAATTTATGTGAATTCGGGTTGATAAATACAGGGGATCAGAGTTTGGGTTGAAAAATACGGCATAGAAATAGTTGGAGTTGATATTGACCGTTTTCCCTTCATAATGTATGTACAACTATTTGATAAAACATTAAATTTTTATTTCATATATAGTTTTAGAAAATATCCCATGTGTAATGTCATACTTACTTGATGGTTAGGAATTTTTCTTAATATTTTAATTTTATAAAACATTGATTTCAGTTATAAATTAGAAGCAAAGTTGAAATTATCATATTTGATGGCTAATTTTTGTTTTTGGTTAGATAATGTGAATTGATGGCTAAACTGATACGTTACAAAAATAAATACTAATATAATTAAATAAGTGGTGCACATGGTATATGGCAGTTAGGGCCATAACCTCAGCTTGTGCAAAAGTTTTGTCCCCACCAAAGATAATACGGAAAGATTTTTGTGACTTGACTAAATGCGTTACATAAAATAAATAAATAACTATAAATATTAATAATGAATTGCTTAAATAATTGTAACAAACCCGTATGGAGATACCCATAATCTCATTATTGTAAAAGCCGACATATCAATACTCATCCCTACGTTTCCCCAAATGGAAAGTTATTGTTAATTTATTCATCAACTCAATCATTAGTGTTAGTGCCACGCCTTAAACCCCTATTTAGAAATTGTTTAGATTATATGATTGAGCCAAAAAAATATAGAATATTGCATGCTACGATGTGATATAATAATAGTTATATCTAACTTTAGTATGAATTGTACAAATTTAATCAACTATTAAAAGTATATGCTTGTTTGTACTTGTCAAATGAGAATAATTAAAACTAAGCATATATACCAAAAATGGGTTATCGGAATGAATCCATGACAAGGACATAGATTAAAGGGGAAATTGGTGTTGAAGAAAAATGCTAATAAACAAATGATGGCTAATCATTTGATATAGAATAATAATTTACGTATATTTATTCTTTAAATTAAGGAAGGATCTAAGAAAAAGAGTACACCTAGTTTGGTCCCAAATTAAATTAAGAAAAGTACTTTTAAAGATAAGAAACCAATATAGTAACTAATTATGTTTCACTAGTTTATTAATCTTTTAACTTTCTATCTTTTTGTTTCTTCATCCGAAACAAGATCACTACATCAAAATGTATCCATTTATTGGAGTACTTAATTACATTAATTGAAATGTTTACAAACTTAAAATTTTGAACAAATGATATAATTTCGAAATGTTATGGTATTTATTCCTCATTGAGCGAGACACCAACGTGGTAAAGAACATTTAATTAAAGCTGAAAATTAAACTAAAATAATAATGCAAAAACAAACAAACATAATTAAATATTTTAATTAATATTAATAAAAAGTTATTAACGATGATAATACGAATAAGCTTACTCTTAAGCTCCTTATTAATCTGAAAGACTCTCATCTTTAACTTCACGACGACGACGATCCGTTAACGTTACCGCCGTTAGCTCCGCCGCTATCACTATCAAATCCTCCGCCACCGCCGCTACTAACACTGTGGTGAAGCTCTCCTCCTCCTCCACCGCCGTGGTGTCCAATATTATTGTTGTTAATCTCGCCGGAGAGAATCGGAGTGTGGTTTCCTCCGCCGTTATCAATCTTCCGGATCTCGTTTCCGGCGAGATCACGGCGGTTAAAGGTGTTTTTGTTGTTATGCATCCAAACTTTAAGAACACTTTTATCAACTCCGATCTGCCGGCAAAAATCACGAACATCGTCTTCGTCACGTTTTTGCATCTTCCAACCAAGTCGTTCGGCGAATTCATGCATCTTCTCTTTTTGAAACTGACTGAATTTTGTTCGGAATCTTTTACGAGAACCGTGAAGAGTATGTTGATGGTGGTGGTGGTGGTGGTTGTTTCCGCCGGAGAAATTGAGATCGGAGAAAGAAGCTAAGTTGTTGTTGTTGTTATTAGTTCCGGAGAGAGATAAGAGCATGTAAGAGGAAGAGATTGGTGGAGGAGAAGCTGAGTTAGGACTACGTGGCGGTGGTGGAGGTAGTGGTGGTGGTGGATGATGACGGTGGTGAGGTTGATACTCTACGGCGGCGGAAGGAGGAGGATGGATTGGTGATGAGTCGTTGTTGTTGTCTGGATCACGGCGGTGGAAATTACGGTGGCAGCCACAAGCAGCACATTTGAGAGAAGTTGGATCGGAGGAGATTGACGACGGAGACGGCATGAATTCGCCGCAACCGTCGAGAGCATGACCACCTAACGCCGCCGCGTGGTTTTTGAGACATTCTTTGTAAGTAAAGAGGAGAGGATGGTGGTGGTGGTGGTGACGTTTGATGATGCCGTTGCTAAAGGAAATGGGTTTCGCCGGTTGGATCCGGGTCGGAGTTTCGGATTCGGGTTCGGGTGATTTAGGAGTTGGTGTTGTTATTGTTGTTGTTATTGTAGGAGTCATATCCATCATAGCTTAAAACATTAATAATATAACCAAAAAAAAACTTAGGGTTTTGAGTTAAGAGCTTTGAAAATATGGTATGAGTTTCAGAGATTGTGAATAGAAAAATGAAGAAGAAGAAGAAATAAAGATAAGTAAAAAGGTTCTTAAGCTTTTAGAGATTTATTTATTTTAATATTAAATATTTTTTCACTTGATTTTTTTTTGGTGATATTCGTTTAGAGGAGGAAAAGAAGAAAATGATATGATGACTGTGACGACTGTTGCTGAAGCAAATAAAGAAATTTTTTTTAAAAGGACAATAGTATTAAATTAAAATTAATGATTTATAAATGAAATGTAATAAAAAAGAGTTGGATTTGGGGATATTTTAATCAAGGGAACTAAGGTTTGATGGTTTTTAACCATGGTTAGGTAGAGGGAGTTGTGGGGGTCCACAAAGAGAGAGTGCGTGTTAGATTTTGCGGTGAAAAGCGTAATAAATGTGGCTACTGGTTACTAGTGTCTTAAACCTAAAGGCACAAGTCAAAACTAAAAAGAGAACAAAAAAAAGTTTCATGGTAGTAATGGACGGTTACATTTCTTGTTTGAAATATCGCTAGGCGGTAGTCAAACGTTCAGGACCTAGCGATTAATCAGAAATTAGATTAAAATCGAGAATTAATCGGAAACTAGTTTTAAAGTTATTTTAATATTTTTAAATATATTAATTTAATATTGTTTTAAAAATGATAGTAAACACATAAAAATGTATCTTAAGACAAATTTTTATGTTTTTATTAAAAAAATTATGATTTTTATTAAAATTTGAACTTAAGTTATAGTAAAACATCACAAACTCCCAATTCAAATGTTTGAATAACAAAAAAAAGTTGTTTTATACTTGCAATCTAAAAATAATCGGTGTATGTAAGATTGGGCGGGAAATAATCGGATTAGGCGGGAAGTAATCGGATTAGACGAAGAGTAATCGGGTGATTGATTTTTTTAAGGGATTAGTCACTAATCGAGGCAAATAGGGTGGACCTAGCGATTAAGCGGGGAGTAATCGGGTTAGGTGGGGATGTTTAGAACAAGGGTTACATTTGTTCTAAGACAACCATTGTTGTGAAAGATATAGCTCAAAATTATTTTCCCTCGATTAGACTATTTTATTTTCAAGGCGAAAAATAATCTACCGCGGGCCAAATTTATTTATGTATAAAAACGGTTTGTACTTAATCTACAATGAATTTTTTCTATTTATCTTGATTTGCATTACTACAGACCATAATTTGTAGATGGTAAATAAAAGACGGTCCAATCCGCAAAAATGAATTTGCTCGCCTCAACCGCTGTACCCATTGATGACCAAGTTGAGAGCAATGGTCAAATTCCGTCCTTCATAAGTTCATATACTAGATCAGTTCTTTGGCACAACTATCACCACCTCGTTTCGTAAAGAATCACCCATGGACAATGTTTTGCTTAAATAATCTCCGCTTCGAAGATGAACTCGAGTGAATTACAGTTCTTAATTAGTGCCATAGAAAAACAGAATGGGTAGCAGGACTCCATGGTCATGTAAAAGAGATTACATGCAATCAATGAAGACATCTTCGACTTTCCTTTCGGTTTGAATGAAGAGAAGCTAATCTTAGTGAAAATTTAGTGGCAAAGAAAGCTTGATGACTTAGTGGGCTAATGGAATTATAATATTACATTAATTATTTATGGGCCGGGTTATTGCACACATGCAACTATAGTGATTCCAAGACAGCCCATCCGAGGAGTTGAGTGAAAAAAGGACAAATTCAAGAATGAAGTTTCAAGACCCCAAATCACCCTTTCTAAACGTCTCAAAAAGATTGGTTTCGAAGCATAAATCATACGTATGTAATCATCATAGTCTCTCTTGTTTGATTTAGTAAGTATAAACCTATTGGTATAAATTATTTTAGAGAAATTGTTAAAAATGCCCCTTTTTCAATACCGCTTTTCAAAAATGCCCCCTTTGAGAGTCCATTTTTAAGTTTGCCCTCTTTTAATTTTTAATGACCATTTTACCCTTATTTGAAACAAAATTAGGTCCACAAAATACAAAATATTTTTTGGCGGGAAAAGTGATCCCGCAATTTTCCCGCCAAAACACTTGTAAAAACCTTTAAAATACCTTGTAAATTTTTCCCGTAAAAATTTTCCCGCCAAAAATTTAACGCCAAAAAAATTGCGGAATCACTTTTCCCGCAAAAAAAATTTTTTGGCGGGAAAAAATTTTACGGGAAAATTTTACAAGGTATTTTAAAGGTTTTTACAAGTGTTTTGGCGGGAAAAATTGCGGGATCACTTTTCCCGCCAAAAAATATTTTGTATTTTGTGGACCTAATTTTGTTATATTTCCATATATATTTGTGATATCTTTTATTAAAAGAAGGGTAATTTAGTCATTTTGTACATAAAAAAGGGTATTTTTAAAAATGGACAGCCAAAGGGGGCATTTTTGAAAAGGGGTATTGAAAAAGGGGCATTTTTGTGAGTCTCCCATTATTTTAATGTAGACAAATGTATTTCCAATTTTGTTTAAGACTATGTTTATTCTTTTTTTTAATATATATCAAGACTATGTTTATTCTATATTTTTAATTCTTCATTTTATATCAAACATGGTTTGAAAAGACTATAATTAGATCCTCCATCTTTCTCATATCTTCTTCCAAAATGGGAGTTTGAATTAAAAGAAGCATCCACAATCATTGGAGAACTTTTAGAATCTTCAAATTTGGGAGGACAAGTGATAATTATCATTAATTATTTGGATAGACACAAAATTATCAAATGAAATTGTTACACATGGTTTTTCTAATTGTTGCATGACCCATGATTTTTTACTTGTATCATACTATTTTTCTATAAATATATAATTTATCAAACTATTTACACTAAACACTTGGCATTCACGACCTAATAACAAGTGTATGATAAATTATATGTTCTTATAGAAAAAGTCATATGACAAGATCATCGTAAGACAATGGAACAAGCCTTCAAAAATCCGCAAGTAATTGTTGTAGTTAAGCAATAAAACATCTTATCAAAACAAATCATATCAAATCTTTTTATTACCGTTATTATTTGATCTCATTGCTGAAGTATATATTTCCTTTATTAATTAGCTGGAGATAGAGAAAAAAAAAAAGTAAAATTTCCTTTTTATCAAAACTCTCAACGGCTAATTACGCAAATCTATACAAAATATGGAAATCAAATCTTTACTCGTTTTTTCCTTTTTCTTACCGATGATGAGCGAGAGTGAAAAAATAATAATTCTAATCCTATAAATATATGATTCACTTTCTAAACCTAATTCATTGGTTTCACTCTCTCAATATCATTCTTCTTCGTCTTCGTTCTTCTCTTCACTTTGAACGTGAAAAAAAAACAGAGAGATTGTCTTTGAAATCAACAAGAAGATGACCATGCGATCTTTACCTTCTTCCTCTTCTTCTTCATCTTATTCACTCGCTTCTACAAGTTTGAGCAATAGACTTGAGACCATCTTCAAGAAAGCTTCCGAGCTTTGCACTCTCTGTGATATCGAAGCCTGTGTCATCTATTATGGACCAGACGGAGAACTTAAGACATGGCCTAAGGAGCGAGAGAAAGTGAAAGACATTGCTCTTAGGTATAGTCAATTAAACGAAGCCTTGAGACGCAAGAAACGTGTTAATCTTAATGACTTCCTGAACAAGAAGAAGGATAAGGGTTTGAAGAATCCGAATAAGAAGAGGAAGACGAGTTTGAAGAAAGTGAATGAATTGAAGTATCCAATCTCTGATCATTACTCTCCTGACCAAATCTCCAAACTGATTCAGTCCTTAGAACTCAATGTCTCTAAAGTCCAAGAAAGGCTTCGTTTTGTTGAGTCTCAGAAACACAAGGAGACAAAACCGGATCATCAGAGTTTAGCATCATCCTCTCTGAATCATCAGACCCAACCTTTGAACCCTAGCCAGTTCTCGCTATTTATGTATAACCATGGAGATAATACTCTCTCTCAAATCCCAGTCTCTGCATTCAATCAGGATTTTTCAGCGTTATTTCAAGAATCTGAGTTTAAGAACCCGTTAGTGAAGCAGGAGCTTTGTGGTTATGATCAGAACATGTGCATGAGTGGCATTACCAACAACAGTTTCCAACATCCTTGCGTCTCAAACAAAGAACATTACTCGGCGGTACAAGAATCTGTGAATAACTATGAGTTGAATCAGTTGATGCAGCATGAACTTTATGGTTGTGATCAGAACCTAAGTAATATCAATAACAACAACTTCCAACATCCTTGCGTCTCAAACCCACAACATAACTTGGTGGTATATACAAGAATCTGTGGATAGCTATGGGCTGAATCAGTTGATGCAGCATGAACTTTATGGTTTTGATCAGAACTTGTGTTCGAGTGATATTACCAACAGCAACGTTCTAGACCATTATGGTAATATGGTCGGTAACTCTAGCTTCCCTCAAGATATGTGTTCAAGCTATGTTTATAACTTTGATGAGAGCAGTCTACTTCAGACATCTACTCTACCATATGTCTCCACCGTTCCTAAGAGTTATCTTCTATCCGGCAACTCAAGTTGAAGCAATTGATTACCTCCTTCAGTGCCAATAATGAAGTAGTACAGTTATGAAGTTGTTTCTGCATTAGTTTCTATTTTTGAGTATTGAAAAAACAGATGTAATTGTTTATTACCTCTTTTAGTTTTTATTATGAATAGGAAACATTTTGTTTAGTATGCGTTGTTCTTGGTCTATAATGTATTCAGCTAAAGAAATCAAGCTCAATAATAATATACTTAGAACCAATCTGATCTGTTGCAGACGTTTATCTACACATAATCAATACAAACACATTCCTCTTCCTATTTTGCTATACATGAATGAATCAGTTCCACAGACACAAACCGCACCATTGGTCTGTTTTGGTTAAGTTTGGGTTGTCACAAAATTCACAAGTTCATATAGTATAATTCTATATCGGTTCTATTTTAACGAAAAAGAAATTACCAAACTTCAACCGAGGAGGCGGTTTGAATCCGACCGCCTTCAAACCGCCTTAATATATGCTTCCAGTCAAAGAATTTACAAATTTTATGGCAACTGAAAATACTTTTGAATTGAAAATTGTGGGAGTTTGGTTACCTTTAAAGGGAATCAGTTTCAGTGTGGACTTGCAAATCCGAATTCGAACCAAATCCTAATTTTTTGAAACCGGTTAAGATAAACCAACATTCATTGAAAAATATTATGTGGTTCTTTCCGGTTTAAGGATATGAGAGCTCAACCGTTGAGAGTCTCCTGTGTCCGAATTCTCCCAGTGTCCTTCGTAATCAGAGGTTTTGGCCAAAGGTGAAGACTTTATCGTCGTAGATTAAATTAAACCCTCGCTTTTGTGTTTCAAGTAGCTTCGGGTTCGTTTTCACTTTCTTGTTTCGATTGCTGCAGCGAAACCATCGGAGAAATCTTTGAAGATCATGAGGAATTTCTCCGAGCAATATGGTCGTCGCTCAGGGACCTACTTCTGTGTTGATAAAGGTATGAAATTTAACTATAAAGTTTTGAAATTTATGGTGGAATTGTGATGAATAATGAATATATGGTGGTTTTTGTTTAATGATTCTATAATTCTGGGCAAATTATGAATTATTTGGAGGATATTGAGTCTTTTACTTGGAAATAATGAGTTTGCAGAAGAAATTGAGTTAATGCAAGTGAACATCTTGAGATATTCTAGTGTTTAGCTAATCTAGTGGCTGAGTTTTTTCTATTTACAGAAGAAATTGAGTTAATATTGCAAGTGAAGATCGAGTGTTTAAGTGTGTTACTCTTTTTGACTGAAGCATAAACATTCATATGTTGCACCATTTTTCCCTTTGCTTCCGGGATATCATTACTTCTAAGAGCATTTGAAAGTGTATGAACACAAAGTCCGATCCTTGTTTTTGGTGTACACATTACGATGATAAAGCTGCTGAGTTTGGACAAGGCTTTTGGAATTGTCCATGTGTTGCAATGAGAGAGAGGTAACAAGTAGCTCTATGTGGCTACATAAGCATATTGTGTGTGTTAGTTATATAAGTAGAACTAAGCATATGGGAAACACCAGTTATATGTTATAATAAGCTGAATTGTCTCCAGCTTGTTTATGGTTATTAGTTAGATAGAATTTAGCAGCACATGCACTTTCACTTTCCATACCGATGTCACCATTGTATCATGATTGATGCTGAGGATGTATACACCAGATTGCTTCAATTCTATAGTAGCTCTTTCGTAGACTGTTGGCATATTTGGCCCGTTTTTTGTGGTTCAGAACGTAGCTTATTAGGGTTTTTTAACAAGTACATATATAAATGTGAAAATGTTGGCACCCTGACTTGATTTTCTTTTGACAGATAAGGACATCGTTGAAGAAGTCAGGAACACTGAACGGTAACTAGTCTTGATCATGCGGTTTACCGTGGCTAAGCTCTGATTCCTCCATAGTGGCCTGTCTTGTCTTTTCTCATCACAGGTATGTAACATTCTCTTTTTTTCAACCCTGTTTCAGTGATTCTCTGTGCTGAAAAATAATAATCATAAATCATCGCAACTTTTGTTAAACGGAACAACATAAGCATTACAGTTTCAGTAAACATGAGAACAAGGGGGGGTTAGGACACTAACGTTTGCAAGCTTCACACTGTTATTATTGTTTCTCCTGTGATGATTCCTTTCCTACCATAATGTCTGCAGCATCAACTTCCCTCTCCTCTTGACCTTTATCTTGTGATGACTCCTTCCCTTCCGTTATGTCTCCAGCAACTTCCCTCTCCTCTTTTTCTTGTGATGATTCCTTCCTTTCCATTATGTCTGTTGCAGCTTCCCACTTCTCTTGACCTTTATCTCCTGATGGTTCCATAATTTTCCACACTTCCATTATATTTCCACCTTGCTTTGCTTTGAGTTTGAGCAGTGTAGCTACCCACTCGTCTCGACCTCTACCATATAAAAACGATCCTAACAGTCTAAGGCCCAAAGGAAGAAAGCCTGCGAGATGGACAGCACAAACTGCAATCTGTTCGAAATCAGAAGGTGGATAAGGCTGCTTGAAAGCAAAATGAGAGAAGAGTTGAAGAGCTTCATCATATCTTAAAGATGTGACTTCATACACATGCTTCACTCCGGCGTCAACAAGCATATTCTTGTTCTGGCTAATAAGAATGATTCTGCTTCCTGGAGCAAACCAGTTAGCGTATTCAATGATCCACTTCCATTGTTCGATGTTGTTCACATCATCAGCGATAAGGAGAACTTTCCGGTGTTTACGCCTTGCTTCGGTAATTTCAGGCCCATCGTGATATGAGCTTATTATTACCGTTGGATCTTCTTCCCCTTCAAACTTTAGAAGCTTGTCTTTCATGTTTTCAACATTATCTAGGAAAACATATGTCTGAAAGTTAACAAACATCTCTGAATAAATGTACCTTGCAAGCGCTGTCTTCCCGACACCAGCACTACCCGAAATGCCAATGGTACGAACCTCTTTGTTAACTTCTAAAGCCAACAAGTCATAAACCACTTTCATGTGACGATCCATTGCAACAAGGGCATTCGAATTTATGAATTTGCCCCACAACTTTTGTTATTTACGAATTTGCCCCACAACTTTCGATATTTACGAATTTTCCCCACAACTTTCGATATTTATGAAATTGCACCACAACTTTAGGTATTTACGAAATAACTTTAGGTATTTACGAAATTGCCCCACAACTTTTGATATTTACGAATTTACCCCCACAGCCTTTGATATTTACGAAATTGCCCCACAACTATCGATATTAAAACTTTCGATATTTACGAATTTATTCTATATTTACGAAATTGCCCCACAACTTTCGATATTTACGCACCCCACAACTTTCTATATTTATGAATTGTCCCACAACTTTAGGTATTTACGAAATTGCCCCACAGCCTTTGATATTTACGAAATTGCCCCACAACTATCGATATTTACGAAATTGCCCCACAACTTTTCGATATTTACGAATTTACCCCACAACTTTCTATATTTACGAAATTACCCCACAACTTTCGCTATTTACGAAATTGCCCCGCAACTTTCGATATTTACGAAATTGCCCCACAACTTTCGATATTTACGAAATTGCCCCACAACTTTCTATAATTACGGAATTGCCCCACAACTATCGATATTTACGAAATTGCCCCACAACTTTCTATATTTACGAAATTACCCCACAACTTTCTATATTTACGAAATTACCCCACAACTTTCGCTATTTATGAAATTGCCCCATAACTTTAGGTATTTACTAATTTGCCCCACAACTTTAGGTATTTACTAATTTGCCCCACAACTCTCGATATTTATGAAATTGCCCCACAACTTTCGCTATTTACGAAATTGCCCCGCAACTTTCGCTATTTACGAAATTGCCCCGCAACTTTCGCTATTTACGAAATTGCCCCATAACTTTAGGTATTTACGGAATTGCCCCAAAACTTTACGTATTTATGAATTTTCCCCACAACTCTCGATATTTATGAAATTGCCCCACAACTTTCGTAAATCAAACTATTGACATGCAAATTCCTGAAAATGAGATAATAATAATAAATTCTTCAAAGAAAACATATCCTCGAAATCAAAATCTTCCAACGCAACTAAAATTTGAAAACAAAAACTGAGTGTTTTGGTCTGAAAAAACACAAGTAAATAGCTACTAGAGGCATGAGACAAAGGAGGCTGGATTGGTGATTTACTCTTCATCATCCTCATCATCATCATCACCACCTGCTCCGTTCAATGCCTTAACTCTCTCGATCAACTTGTTCTTCCTCTCTTCATAAGTCAGTTTCTTCAAGTTGTACCTGTTTTGTTTATACCACAATCAATCATGAACCCAGTGAGATACTACACCAATACAGCAACAACAAGCTTATAATATTGAAACAGTAATGAAATTGTTTTTACCTCTTGTGTTCCTTGGGGGCAGGTTTCTCGGTTTTCTTAGGGTTGGGGTCTGCTCGAATAGCTGCGTGAACCTTCTTGTACATCTCCTCAATGCTCTCAGCTTCAACTCCTTTCTTAATGTAAGCACTGAAGTGAGTTTGCAACTTCTCTGGCTCATCTTCACCCAACAGCTTCATGTAGTTTGAGACATGGCCACCATAGATGTAGTTCCTGTGGATTTCAGCATCAAGTTGCTTGTTCTCCTTGTTGAAACCCGCAAACCTCTTGTCACTGTGTGGGATATCAAGACCTCCGTCCAAAGCACCCTATAGTTTCATAAAGCAAACCAACAGGGTAGTACAGAATTGCTAGTATCATCATTTGCTCAATAAAACAAAATCTAACAGATGAGAACACAGACAACCACATTAAAACAGAGAGCCATTTTAATACCTTGAGTGCACCAAACACACGGTTTCCAGTTGTGGTCCTGATAAGTCCGACATCAAGAAGAGCACGGAAAGGTCTTCTGGAATCAGTTGGTTCCACAGAAAAGTCCTCTCCAGTGGCCTGATTCATTAATTGTGATTCAGTTACAAAACAAGAGATGAAAACTTTCAAGTTACTTTAATTTCAAGATGAAATCAAAAGCACAACATACCTCTACATTTCCCTCATACTCGTCATCCATTTCCAACATTTTCAGAACACGACGAGCCAAAAGAAGGCCGGTACAGTAAGCTAGCATGACAAAAACACAAAGTCGTTAGGAAACCATACACAGAATCAAACATATAAAATCGGATAAACAAAAGTATAGAACTGATTCAATACCTGCAGCATAGTTGGTAAGACCAACAGTGAGTCCATACTGAGGCAGCTCATGTGCGTAAGCAGAAGCTTTAACAATGTCACCAGCTATGCTTGCAGACACAATCTGTGCCACAATGTCTTTGTTGGTAAATCGAACAACAAAACGGTACTTAGGGGTGTTGTACTTGTTCTTATCTTGATTGATAAGACGAATCCTTGCCCTGTAATCAGTCTTTCCATCTACATAATATAAAACAACAACATTCAGAACACAACACCTAAACCTCTATAACAGAACAAAAAGCAAAGACTAATTTGACAATAACAGCAATAAACAAACGGATCAATACCTCTCCTTCTCCTGAACTTCACTTGGTACCTCTTGAAGTAAGCATTCGATTTGGAGGACTTCACAAACACCTAACAAATACAGAGATTAAATCTTAAGATCCAAAAGTAACAAAAGATCATCTTTTTAAACGCACTAGTGACCTCAAAACACAGAACAAAAAGCTAAAGTCTCATACTATATTTCTTAATTTCAAGAACAGAAAAACACAATTTTTTGCCGATTTCAATTCTCAAACCCAACAGTATAAATCTTTTTTCCATGGTAACAAAGTACATACATTTAAACGCATCAGTGACATCTATATCAGAACAAAAAGCTAAAGTCTCGAACTTTATTCTAATCCGAAGAACAAAAGAACAAAAATTTGCTAATTTCAATTCTCAAGCAAGTTATAACCAAAACCCATGAAGAAAAACATCTACGAAGCTGAATAAAACCATATGTTCATGAATTCTCGTTACCATAAATATCAAAAAGAAATGCAGGAGATGAAATGAAACACAAAATCTGAGGAGAAAATCAAGAAGAAACTATGGCGGAGAGAGAGATCTTAGCTAGGGCTTACCATTGTTTGCTGTGAAGATGAGTGACACAAGAAGGCAAGAGGCGCAAGACCTAATGCGAGATCAAGCTTATAAGACAAAACCCTAGAGTTCTCTTGGGCTCTTCCAATCAACGGACACAATTAATGTGGGCTTAAGAAATATTCAACGGTCTAGATTTGTTATATTAAATATAGACCCAATGGGCTTTGTATTTGGGCTTGCTATTTGTGTCTCGCCTAATTTGTTTTTACTCTTTGGGGAGATGTAAAATTTGTAACGAGGTAAAGTATAAAAACTGTTTACAACTGCTGTGCGAATCTCTCCATTTTCATTTTGGCCATTTCTTTTTGCTTTTACTTCGGAATACATACTTAAGTCTTCAATAGCAAATTAGCAATAACCTTTTGTTTTATATAACCAAAAGATTTTAAACCTAAATCTAGACTCCTATATGTATGCGAAGGCGATTTGGTGAATGTCTAACACACCTTTCCAAGGTTTATAGTATGCTTCTTTAACCATTGATGATAATTTTAAAAAGGTTATTTCAATAACCTTTTCCCATGGCTGGTACTACGAATCTTCTTTTCAATCACTTAAATCCATACAAATACGCGCTTAACCAAGGTTTATGTTCGGCCTCAATGGGAAAATAAAGTGGAGCACCTAACAACGTATCTTCACAGACCAAGAACTACGAGATCACCCCTTTCATTCTGGGGTGACGGAGGAATCGTACCGTTTGAGCATTTTTCATGTTATCTATCTCTTGACTCGAAATGGGAGCATGTTTGAAAAAGGATCTTAGAGTGTCTAAGGTTAGGCCAGTAGGGTCTCTTAATACCCTCTCTTTTTTTCTCATCTAAGTTATTTCACAAATACACAAGTAAGATGCCAAAATATCTTAAAGACTTAACCTTTAAATAAAAATCTCTTGATGACTTATAACACAATAATACAATCCACATTATAACTCAAATCTTAAAATAGAACATGACAAAACCATTCTTGTCATTAGTCTCCACAATACCTAGCTAGACTCTCCAGCTTATTATTTGATACGGAGTTTAGACACAAAGGTGATATATAGAACATACTAAACACAAATCCATTCAAGACGATGGAGCATTCCCGGAATCATCTTCTTTTAGGACATGGCTGAAATCATCTCTTCCCTTTCCCAATGGATTCCTCTTCCTCTCCATAATCTCCGTAAACGCCTCTATGAATTTCTTCATGTGCAATCGTTTCCATTCCTAACAAACAAACAACAATCAACAACACGCACATCGAACCAATGTACCAATTCTCATTCATAGAGAGCTAACAAAACAAAAAAATGCTTAAATCATCAAACCTCGAAATCCCATTCTCCACCAATATCAGGATCATTCTTGTTAATCCATGGATATGTTTCCACTGTCATCTTCTCAGAATTGTCCTACATATACAAAAAAAATCATAATCAATACTCATTAAAATTGTTTAATGGTTTAGAGATGAAATCATCAAATCTTGAAACTTACTTTTCTTACAACTTCAACAGTCACTCTTTCATATTCATTTCCTTCAACCCAATCTACATTCTCAAGTTCATCATTAGTTAATCCCATTAGTACCTGAACCAACAACAATTCACCAAAAACTTCTCAAAATCTAAACTATTCAAGAATCAAGATCAATACTTAAAACCCACAAGAATTATCCAAGAATCAAACCTTTCCATGAACTTCTCCATTCTCAGAGGGAATAATACATGGATACAAACGTCCTTTAAGCCTATACCTCTGACTGAATAAACCCAAAAATCTCCATTAAATCTTAGATCTAAAAAACAGAGAATTGAGATCAAGATCGAGAGAGAGGTAACGTACAAGCCATGAAGTGTTGCAGAGACGATCTCAGGAATACGATCAAGCATGACATGGATGACCTCAGGCTCTTGAAAGCTACCATAGACGAAGATATTGTGAAGCTGAGGAGAATCGGAGCTGCTCATTTTTTTTTTTTCAATCTTTTTACTCTGTCTTTTTTTTTTTGATTGGTTAAGTTATTTTCTCTGATCAGAGAGATTTTTGACTTTTATAATGTGACAAAAAAAGAATATCACGTAGGAACACGAAACGGTGAAACACGTGGAATTATTCTCTTACCACACATGACACAACCTTAACGTATTTAAAGTACATAACTAGCCCTGGGACTTCGGTAAGAACCGATCAAACCGACCCGAGGTACCCGAAATTTTCGGTTATCGGGACAGACCGAATTGAGGAGACCAAACCGAATGGAATCAATTATTTGGGGGGTCGGTTTTCGGGTCGGATCGGTTCGGTAATCGGCCCGATCGGTTTTATGTAGCCCATTAGAATTATTAGGTTTTATGTAGCCCATTAGCAATATTAAGCCCATTCGTAGCAGACCTATATAAGCCTAATCCTAAGACATTAACCCTAATTTCATTTCTCTTCTTCTTCGCCTTTGCCGCATGCGAAACAGAGAGTGGAATCCTAAACCCTAATCTCATCAGTTTTCATCCTTATTCTCTGATCTAAACATCATCTCATCTTCCTACCTTCATCAATTCATCATCTTCTACACTTCTACATCTTCATACCCTCGTGATTCTACTTCCATTTCTCCGAAATTCAACCCGTAACCGAGAAAGTGTTAGAGGTCAGATCTTCGTTCTTCTTGGTAGCTAATAAGCTAATGTCGACTTGCTAATATCTGGATGATTAATTGGGATTCAAAACCCTAATGTTACTCAAATCTTCGATTGTGAGAATGTTAGGGTTTGGACTCCATTTTTCATCCAGAAATTTAGGGTTCGGCCTTTGTTATACTTGAAAGTCATTGGTTATAGATTGTATGACTGAACCTCTTTTGTTTATATATTCTGTAGATGGCAGAAGAGGAGAACGTGAACGTCGAGAAAGATACTGAACCTCCTGTTCAACCTCAGACGACAGAAGAAGTTCATAGTGATGTAACTGGGCAGAAACGTCCAAGGCCTGCCTCTGGTGGTGATAAGCCACCCAAACCCCGGAAGAAGTATGCAAAAAGAGCTCCTATTTGGGAACACTGCAGAGAGAAGATCCTACTAAGAGCTACTGTAAGTACTGTTTAGCAGAGATTGGTTGTGATTCAAAAAAGGTTGGTACTAGTCCAATGATTGGTCACATAAAAGTATGCAAACATTACAAGGATTGGGTAGATAAGGAAAATCAGAAGGTTCTAAGTGGTGATAACAAAGGGAATCTGAAGGTGATTAAGTATGATTCGCATTTGTTTAGGAGATCAGTTAATGAGATGGTAGTAGTCAATGAGTTGCCATTCTCATATGTAGAATCTGAGGGTTGGAAGCGGTTCTGTTTCAATGTCTTGCCTATGTACAAGACCTTTTGTAGAAAGACATGCAATCAAGACATAGTTGGGATGTATTTGGAAGAGAAGGAAGCTTTAAAGACTTTGTTTCGTGTTGAGAAACAAAGGGTGTCGCTGACTACAGACATATGGACATGTCCTATTACTTCTTTCAACTACATGGTGATCACAGGTCACTGGGTTAATAGAGAGTGGGAATTGCAGAAGAGAATTCTCAGCTTTAAGGTGATCACAGATCATAAAGGAGATACCATAGCAGGTCAGTTGCTGGATTGTTTAGAAGAATGGGGAATTGAGAAGGTTTATACAATTACAGTTGATAATGCAAGGAACAATGACAAGGCTTTGGATACTTTTAAGGAAGCGTTTAAGCTGATAGGATTACAAGCTTTAGTTAAGGATGGTAAATTCATACATATGCGCTGCTGTGCACACATCCTCAATCTGATTGTTGGAGATGGTTTGAAGAAAGCAAAGCGAGAAGTTGTTGCAATTAGGAATGCAGTTAAGTATGTCAGGTCAAACTTTAGTAGGCTGAAGTCTTTTTCATTGAGGTGTGAGACAGCAAAGTTGTGTAGAGGCAACTTGCCATTAGATGTTGTCACTAGATGGAACTCAACATATCTGATGTTGAACTCAGCTTTGAAGCTGAGGGTTGCTTCTGAGAAGATGGAAGCTGAGGATAAGCTATATTGTGCTTATTTCTTGGAAGAGGAGGAGGAGAAGACCAAGACTAAAAGAATAGGACCACCAACTTCTTCTGATTGGGATAAAGTTTCAAGGTTAGTGAAGTTTCTTAAAGTCTTTTACAAGGGTACTGTCACTTTCTCTGCATCAAAGACAGTGACTTCCACTTTGTGTTACAATGAAATTGTGGACATTGAGAGGAGTCTCATCACTAAGTCTCAGAGTCCCGAAGAGAAGACCAGAAAGATGGCTACTGCCATGAGAGATAAGTTTGACAAGTATTGGGATGGATTAGGTAACATGAATCCTCTAGTGATTGTGGCTAGTGTCTTTGATCCTCGCAACAAGATGAGGTTTGCTTCACTCTGCTTTGACCAGCTCTATGGTAAAGATACCATAGAGAATAGAAAACTCCATGCATCTGTTTCAAGTGTCATGAGTTCAATGTATGAGGATTACAGTTTCAAGCTGAGCAAACCTATAGAAAATGAAGAACCAGATTCTCAGCCACAGCCTGAGAACTTTGTGTTATCTGATGATGAAGATGATTGTGAAGGGATGCTGTCATTATTTGATAAAGTGGTTGGCTTGAAGGGTAATGATGATAGTTGCAATGAGTTAAAAATGTATCTCACAGAACAAACTGAGGCTAGAATTGAAAATAAATTGGGGTTTCCTTATGATGTTCTCAGTTGGTGGAGACGCAATTGCCCTAAGTTCCCAATCTTGTCAGAATTTGCTAGAGATGTTCTTGCTATTCAAGCCTCCTCTGTAGCTTCAGAGTCTGCATTTAGTACGAGTGGAAGGGTGTTGGATCCTTATAGGAGTTCTTTAACTCCTTACATGGTTGAGGTTTTAATATGCACACAACAATGGTTAAGGTGTTCCTATAAAAAAGAGGATGCTGTAACAAACTTGGCCCAAATGTTAGAAGAAGTTGATTTTTTTGAGTCACTTGGTAAGTTTAACTATTCTCTTTGATTCAGTTTTTTTATCCTTTCAAGACTGTTGATAAGTATAAGGCTATAACTAATCTCATGTTTATGTTTTCTTGTCTAGATGCTCGGAATTCAACAATTGCTCTTACATGATTCTTCATAGTATGGCAGGTATGATTCTGGTTCTGTTGTAGTCTAATTAGTTCATTGTTAAGTATTTGATTCTGTTTTTGATTTATAATGTTATGTCTTTGTTATGATTCTATTAGGTAGGTAGGAAGCTGCGGTTTTTTGTCCTTTTGATGTAGAAAGCAGCCTTGGACAGTACTGACTTTGAAGCTGCTGTTTTGACAATTTTTTGGTGCGAATCAACATGCTTTTATGAATTTGCATATGGTAAGCTAACTACTAAAGCAAACTTGTTATTTGTATGGTTCTGTTATTGTTTTTTGATGTAATGCTAGCTTAAACTTTGATAAAATGCTAGCTTGGCAGCTTCATGGTCTGTACTAGTAGCTTAAACTCACAAACACAGCTTTAAGCTACCAGTACAGCTTTATGTATGGTTTTGTAATGGTTCTTCCTTCTTTTGTGTCATTATGTAGTAGTTAAGCTTGTGTTGACTTTGGAAAATGTCATATTCGGTTTAAATTAACCGAATTGGACACTATATTCATTTGTTCTCGGAGGCTAAAATACATCAACTAACCGACCCGATTAAACCGACAACCGACCGAACCCGAACCGAATTACAATTCGGATTAATCCGGTACAAATTTCAAAGAACCGAATCTAAGGCAAACCGAACAACCCGAACCGAATAACCCGATTCCACCGAAGTCCCAGGGCTATACATAACTATTGTGTACATGGGCAAAATAACCGAACCGAAAGAACTGAACCGGAACTGAAGCAAAAAGAACCGAATCGGAACCAGACCAAAATTTTAAAATACTCAAATGGATCCTAAATTTTAGAACCAAAATAACCGGAACCGGAACCGAACCGAAATATTTCGGGTACCCGAAAATACCCGAAATATGAGTTTATATCTAAAAATATTAGTTATTTTTAGATCGAATAACCAAAAATATCCGAAATACCAACAAATATTTGGAAAATATATCAAAAAATACTTAAAATATACAAAAATACTCGAAAATATCCAAAAATAACCAAAAATATCCAAAATACCTAAAAATATCCAAAAACAAATATCCGAATGGATCCTAAACTTCAGAACCGAAAGAACCGGAACTGAACCAAAATTGTTTGGTTTCTATATGGATCCTAAACTCTAGAACCGAAAGAACCGGAACCGAATCAGAATCGAACGGATACCTGAACGCCCATGCCTAGTCTACATCGTTAACCCAATTAAAAACATTCCGTACCAGATTTTAGAAAAAGATAAGATGATGTTTATTTATGGATGTGGTATTTTCTTTTTTCAATAACATGTCTAATAATTTAAAAAATTGCATTTGATTTAATCATATGTCATTTTATCCAGTAGTGCGATATCTAATGAAAATAGTATGACTATGCGCAAGTTATTAAGGACAGTTACATATTGGGTCTGATTGGTAACTAAAAACTGTACAAGTTTTTTAGCTGTTAGCTGGAACTGTAACCTTTATCGGAATAGTGCAAAACTGTAAGAAAGAGCTGTACAAAAATGCAGAAAGTAAAACTTTTAATAACACTTTTGATAACGCTTTTATGATTGGTAACTGTCAAAATTGTATACACTGTATTTTAGTGATACGCGGTTACCATTCAAAACCACTTTTCTTTAATTACAAATTTGTCGCTCGGTTAAAATAGTAGGGTGGCTTTGATAAATAACTCTAAATTTTATCTATTATTGAGGTGTACTAGATCTAGGGCTGTGTTGCTAGTTTGTTTGTTTCCGGTTGAAGTATGATGGCTGGGATTAGAGGTTGTGACTTTTCAAAGGTTTAGCGGGTCAGTGTTATCTTCTCTTTCGACGGTTCGTGGTACGGAACAAGACGTGTCGACCGGGTTTTGATGTGTGCCTGCCGCTTTATCAATGTTTGTCTGGTAGTGTTTGGGATTTCCCATCATGTGATTGGTGGTTTGCTTTTACTCGTCTGTGTGCTAGGCTTGCAGTTTTCCTTTGTTCTTGTGAAGATTCTTTGGATTCTATCCGGTTCGATCTTTTACCTTTCTTTGGTCTTTTGAGAATGGTGTTATCCGGACTGAATCGTTGCTCCTTGTCTCTGCAACTCAGACCTGATCGAGGTTTGGTCTTTTCATAAAGCTTCTATCTAGGTTGTTTCTTGTCGCCTTGTCTACGACATCACCGCATCCGGAAGAAAGTTTGGGGAACTCTGAATAGTTCTATCTTGCCGGGTTATGAAGCTTAGGAATTCTGATTTATGAAGGCAGTGGTTTCATCTCAATAGGAGGACTTGTGTATCGTTGGTTGGCCGTGGGCATCTGCGATACTTTTCTTTCAAAGAATCTTCAAGAACTAGGTGACTTATAGTTTTGGTGTGCTTGTCCATTAGTTCGGGCTATTTGTTTTCTGCCCTTCATATGGGATTTCCACTACTATTACTTCTTTCTTGTTGCTTTGTAGTATGACTTATGGCTTCCCTTACATAGGGCTTTAGACTCCGGGGAAATCTCGTCTTCCTCCGGCTTATGGTTGTATTTCATCAAGTATTTCACAATGGTTTATTAATAAAAATTCAGATGACAAAAAAAAAAAAAAACCGACTGGCTAAAACAGTAAAACTTAAAGTAAAGGTTTTTCATATGTTTACATATTTGACCAAATTATTCTTAGTACACTTTGCTTAATCATGCTGTTTCATAAAAATAAAATAACAAAAATAGAAAATAAATAAACACTTGACTAGAAAACTCTAAAATTTTCACAAGCCCACTCAGCCAATTGATTTGATTACTAATTGGTTTAGATAGTGGACCCTTTAAGAATTTATGTACACATGATTAATTGATTGCGCAGGAATCTAATTTTTATCTGAGTCATTTTATGCATATCAGTCAGTTTTGGACAGAGTCGGAGACGGGCAAACAAAATTGTGGGACTTGTGGAATCATTTTATGCAAGTCTTAGATTTTTGCATCTTACTTAGCTTTTTTTTTTTTTTTTCTTTTGATATATCTGATCGCCTGATCCGGTCAGCCTTGGAGGAAGTGCACCGAAGTATTACCATATGGACTCGTCGCCAACACCTAAGTGTTGGACTACCACACTACCTAACCCCGAGTTTGGAATACTTTCCGACTAATGTTCGGGGGTATCCAGTTAGCCTAATTCCGGATATCATGTGAATTGTTTGGACCAAAGCTCAACCCTAGACTTCCCACATCAATGTGATTTTTGTTTCTACGATAGATCGAACATCGGTTAGTTCCTTCCAACTTTTCTCCAATTCTCCCTTACCAGTATTAGACCACAGCCGGGTGGCCATCTTACTTAGCTTGTGTGTCCCACAAAATTCTACAAATACTTTTAACACACACAAACTAAGTAAGATGCAAAAATCTGTAAAAGACTTGCAAGTATATAACATAATAATACAATCCACATGATATCTTGAATCTTACAGTAACACATGACATAATATACATGTCGCTAATCTCCACAATATTTTATACTCTCAACGTTTATTTATTTCAGAATTCTAGAAACAAAGGTAATATATAGAACATACTCAAACACAAGTCCATTCAAGACAATGGAGTCTCATCCGATTGATCTTCGCGTAGGGTATGGCTGAAATCATCACTTTCCTGTCCCTGAGGTTTCTTCTTACATTCCATGGTTTTCTTGAATGTCTCTATGAATTTCTTTTTGTGCAATCGTTTCCATTCCTAAGAAAAAACCATAACCGAAAGACGCGAATCGAACCAATGTACCATTTTCCAATCATAATCAGTTAACAAAAGCTAAAACACTATTTAAATCACTAAACCTCAAAATCCCATTCTCCAAAGATGTCAGGATCACCCCTGTTGATCCATATATATGTTTTCACTGGCATCTTCTCCGAAGTGTCCTACATGTGCAAAATCACAATTTATAATCTCATCAAAAATGTTTCAAAATTTATAAATCATCAACCTTTTAAACTTACCTCCCTAACAATCCCAACGGTCACTCTCTCATATTCATTTCCCTCAATCGCATCTATATTCTCAAGTTCATCACCTGTTAATCCCATTAGTACCTACACCAACAATTAACAAAATTTCTCAAATCAAAACCCTAAAATTCCATATTACACTTGTGAGAAAATCATATAAAATATGCTCTAGTCTCCGGTCTGCGATGTATGAGCCTAGGCAAAGAATCTCTTGGTAATTCGAAAAAAATTAAAAAAATAATAATAATTTCATATTACACTTCTTAACCTTTCCATGAACTTCTCCTTTCTCACAGGGAACAATACATGGATACAAACGTCCTTTAAGCCTAAACCTCTGACTGAAGAAAAAAACAATCTCCATCAAAACTTAGAGATTTTTTGTGGCCGAATAACGCAATCTAACGAGACGATAGGACGTTTGTAGATAGCGGTTTTTTGTGGATACTCAATACGCGATTACTCAATTCGAAGAAAGAGAGAAAGGTACGTACAAGCCCGGGAGTGTTGCGGAGACGATCTCAGGAATACGGTCAAACATCACGTTGATGACGTCGGGCTCTTGAAAGCTACCATAGACAAAGACATTGTGAAGCTGAGAACCAGAGCAATTCATCTTTGTCTCTTCCACCGTTTTTGTTTTTTTTTTCTTTTGGTTTCTTTTAGTATTTTTGGTTTTATGTTCATTCTCTAATCTGAGTTTGACTTTTATATTATAACGTGAAAAATGAAAATCTAAACACGATACCTATGAATAGTTGGCGTAACCAGCGCAAGAAAGACGTGGCATTGATTCTGTTACGACAGCGTTAGACTTCGACGACTAGTGACACCAGTTAGTGTCTGAAAGTCGTTCGTGTTCCTTTTGTTTTCTTCTAATTTGTCGGCAATTATTTGGATACATATCTAATTAAAGTTTTTTGTCGAATAATGATAGTTATCTTAAATATGCGACACGAATATCGTCTAATATATTTCTTTTTGTCCAAGAAATGTTACTTTGAAGCAAGAAGGTCAATGTCGTCAACACCGGGAAGATTGGAACCATGATCGTCATCTACAGCCCAGATAATACTAATATATTTCTTTCTCAAAGAATCCGATGTCTCTAAACAAAAGAAAAAAATCATAGCATTATATAGTTATAGTTTTGACACACACACAAAAAAAAAAAAACACTATAGACATCGCATTTATATAATTTAATCAATCTAAAGAAAAAAAAACTTTATACAATTTTGTATATATCAACATTTTCTTGTTTTTAAACTATAACTTTTTGAAGTCAACAAATTTCAGTTGAAGATATTTTTACATCCTCGTCGATCACAACAATTTTTGTAGAAGTCATTGACTGCAACTTTTGTAGAAGTCATTGACTGCAACAGGAACACCGCCAAATCCTACGAAAGCAAAAAATATTTAAGCTGATTTTGGTATCTTTCGTATAAACTGTCGAAACTGGTCAAAAGATTTACTACTATCAAACTGACGAAAGAAGAAAGCAAAATGTAATACATGCGCGCACCCACAAAACTGTGATGACTTTACTCAAAACATAACTAGTATGCAAAATATATGAATTAATTTTTTTTTTTTTTTTTGAAAAGATAATTAATTAATTTATTTATTATCAATTAGTTTTGAGCCGTGTTCTAAAAAGAGCAGTTTAGGCGGTCGCCTAGGCTTCGACTAGGCGCTAGGCTCTCATGCGACGCCTAGATAACCGCCTAAAATTACATAGATCTTGTTTAATGTATTTTTTCAATTTCAATTAGAGCTTTATTTATATATATAGTTATAAATATTCATATATTGTTTAATATAAATATAAATAAATGTTTTATCTAGTTTTTGTTTATAATTTCATAATTTTTAGTTTTATATAGAGATTTTATATAACTTTTATATAGTATCATATTTATAATATAATGTTGTATGTTATAAACGTTTAAACCGCCTAAAAAATCGCCTAGGCCCCGATTAGGCGTTCTAGGCGCTAGGCACTAGGTCACCGCCCGCTTAGCGCCTAGCGCTTTCTTGAACACTGGTTTTGAGTAAACATCATGAAAAATTCATTACCAAAAAGAAAAAAATCTTCGACCTTGTTGAATAAAATCTGATAAAATCTCAACTATGTTATACATATATCTCTTTCATTTTCATGATAACTTTTGTAGGACAAAAGCAAACAAAAGAAAGCAAATGTGGCAGGCGATTCAAGTCTTTTACATGTAACTTCTAAAATATTGTAATGTTTCTTAGATATGATTTTGAAATTTCTGAACTCTCTCATTGGTAATTTAATATCTAGTTCAAAGGTTACTAATATTCTTTTCGTGTTATAATTTTTGTTGTTTCAAAATGAAAGAAACTGTAGATCGGTACGTACAAAGTAGAAACTGATCATAATAATTGGTCAATGGAAATATTAATAATATTCTGAAAATTGAAAATGTTAAGAGATAGTATATATTTGGGAATATATTTCTATGTTTATTTCCTGGAAATACACGTTTAACAAAGAGAATTTAATAATAATATGTTTCTAATATGTTGAGTAAACAACTCTTTGATCTTCTTCGACGAACAAAAAATTTATTTTTGAAGCTAAAGACATAACAATGCAAGTATTGCCGGCGATTCGAGTTTCTTACTGGTTCGTTTAGATATTAAATTGTTATTTATGTTTTTGTTTAATTGAGTTGTGTAACGTACGCTAATTTTAGATGAATTTAGTTAAACTTTTTAACTCTCTCATTGATATATATAATTTCGAAACGTTGTGTTAATTTTGTTTCTAAAGGAAAACAAGAAGAGTGAAAACTCAACGATGGAAATTGATCAACAAAATGAAGATTTAAACAATTGGTTACCGGTGACAGCATCTCGTAAGGCCAAGTGGTGGTACTCCGCCTTCCACAATGTTACCGCCATGGTTGGTGCCGGCGTACTTGGTTTGCCCTTTGCCATTTCACAACTTGGATGGTACATATTCTTTTGTTCCAAACACACACACATTACCGCCATGGATTTTTTTTTTTTTTTTAACATTTGATTCTTTCAATTATCGGCATGCAGAGGACTAAACTGTTTGTAACTCGAATAGAAATATATATTAGGACCGAAAGATTCATCTCCTTATAATAGATTAATTTTTGTTTATCATATGTTGACATATACATTCTTAGGATTAGAATGGATACTTGAGAGATAATCTATTTCCTATATATGGTAACATGTATATTCAAATATAAATTAGCTAGGATTGGAATAACTAGTCTAACCGCTTGAATTAATTGTATTTTGGTACCAAAATATGTATATAACATAATTATAGATAGAGAATTTTTTAGTGTGTTCATGTTCTTGTAGGGTATCTGGAATAGTTGCAGTATTGGGATCATGGGTGATAACATTCTACACATTATGGCAACTTGTGGAGCTCCACGAGGCTGTGCCTGGAAAACGGTTTGACCGATACCCGGAGCTTGGCCAACACGCATTTGGTCCAAAACTAGGTTATTGGATTGTGATGCCACAACAAATGTTGGTCCAAGTTGGTACTGATATAGTCTACAATGTCACGGGCGGAAAATCTCTTAAGAAAGCGATCGAGCTCTTGATCCCGAGTTTCGCGATGAGGAACACTTATTACATTTTGATCTTCACCGCAATTCAACTCGGCTTGTCTCAAATTCCGAATTTCAATTCTCTAAAAGGCCTTTCTCTTTTGGCCGCGGTCATGTCCGTTTGTTATTCGATGATAGCCTTTGTGGCGTCAACAGTTGAAGGAGCACATCACCACCCGGCTAGCTATGGAATTCGATCACAAGATTCGGTAGATATAGCGTTTGACGTGATGAATGCGTTGGGAACGGTGGCGTTTGCGTTTGCAGGACATAGTGTGGTTCTTGAGATACAAGCAACCATTCCTTCAACACCTGAGGTCCCTTCCAAGAAACCGACTTGGAAAGGAGTCGTCGTGGCTTACGCCATCGTCCTCCTTTGCTACCTAACAGTCGCAATCTCCGGTTTTTGGGCCTTTGGAAACCTAGTCGAAGACGATATTTTAATCTCCCTCCAAAAACCTAATTGGCTAATCGCGGTAGCTAACTTCATGGTGTTTCTTCATGTCGTTGGAAGCTATCAGGTTCATTATTACAATGACACCCTTCTTGAAATTATCTCTGTTAATTAATTTACTTTTGGTTAATTACTTAAAAGTTGAATAATTAGATAGTATAATGGTGTGGTTGATCTAAATTAACAGGTATTTGCAATGCCTGTATTTGATGGAATAGAGTCGTGTCTGGTGAAGAATCTCAAGTTCACTCCTTCATTATGCCTTCGTATTGTGGGACGTACTTCATACGTTGGTATGTAACCAAAAATGTGTATTACTAAAACGTACGTAGTTAAGTTCTTAGTTAGATGGAAATGTGTCTTTAATCAAGTGGTTAAGTCCATTTGACTCCGCCTTCCCCACCGGAGTTTGACTCCACTAAGTCGCGTTACTCCGCATAGTAGGGATTGACTATGGATCGGGCCAAAGATGTTAAAAAAAAAAGTTCTCAATTAGATAACGATTAATTTATGTAACATTTATTTATGTACATGTTTTTGTTCTTGCAGCGTTGGTGGGATTTATAGCAGTATGTATTCCATTTTTTGGAGGGCTGCTAGGGTTTTTTGGCGGTCTTGTTTTCTCCTCAACGTCCTACTTCGTAAGTTTATACCTAAACCTAAGCTTATGCATGAGTATATGAATGGTATGTTAGTGTAGAAAATTTTCAATATTACAAAATAATATTTTCTTTTGATTCTTTTGGCAGTTGCCATGCATTATATGGTTGGTCATGAAACAACCAAAACGTTGGAGCTTTCACTGGATTGCATCTTGGGTAAATAAGCTAATTACAGTACCTTTTCTTCCAAACATATATAGAATAGGTTAAAATGTAATGCTAATTGATATCTTAATTATGGAACATAAATTATTTACAGATCTCGATAATCGTTGGAGTCCTAATCGCGGTTTTAGCACCAATAGGTGGAGCGAGACAGATCGTCCTTCAAGCCAAAACCTATAAGATGTTCTCTTAGTTAAATTTGCAATGGTTTCTTAGTCTTTATTATTTGATAATGGATTATAAACAATGTTTTAAAATATTTAAGTTGTTTGCCTTAAATATATAGACGATGGTTTATGTCATTTTCAAATTTTTAGTACAAAAATAAAGGCAAATGATTTTACTCACTAGATTAACTTTTGCCATTGGGAAGAAATCCATCTTTGGCCATTTCAGCAAGGACATCAAGAACCACATCCATATTCCCTTCTCTATGATTGATCTCAACAAGCACTTTGGCTTGCTCCGCTTCACTCAGTTCACAGCTTCTTAATACATTCTCAATCACACTATTTAATTCATTAACCTTCCCTTCCTTGTGCAATGCTTTAACCAGAGCAATCACTGTCACAGTATGGAGAAGGAATCCGGATTTTACCATCTCTTTGTATAGACTATATGCTTTGCGGATATCTCCTCCTCTGCAATGACCATGGATCATAATGTTGTATGCTGTTCCATCGGGTTTATGGTTTTTCTCAATCATGGATTCGAAAACTCGATCAGCTTCAGTCATCATTCCTTTCATACAGAATCCTTTAATAAGAGATACTACGCTTTTGAACTCGATGTTACTGCAGTTTTCTATGAGTGTTTGATATGTGACGTCGCTAGGGACTGATTCTTCGTAGAACAGCTTGAGCAAAAGTCTTTTTGCTTCTCTAGTTCGAGCTTGTTTGTTAAGCCCGTTGATCAGCACACTGTAAGTGACAACATCAGGCAATACTCCTTTCTCGACCATTTCATTGTGCAACTGGAGCGCTTTTTGCAGATCGCCTTCCATACAATAAGCATTAATCAAGGCTGTGTAAGTAAATTCATCTGGTGGAAGGCCAACTCTCAGCATTTCATCGAAAAGATCACAAGCTTCCTTTGTCCTTCTCTGTTCACAAAACCCTTGGATTAGTGATGAGTAGGTGATTCTATCAGGTTTAATACCTTTTTCAACCATTTCCCTTTTCACTCTAAGCGCCTCATCAACATCGTAACTTCTACAAAACCCAGATAATACTGTGCTGTAGCTCACTACATCCGGAGTCAAACCTTTCTCCTTCATATCTTCGAGAACTGCTATAGCATCTTCCATTTTCCCAGCGATACATTGCCCATTAATCAGAGCATTATAAGTCACAACCGAAGGAGAAAACCCGTTATCAACCATCTCTTTCAAAACCCGATATGCTTCATTCATATAACCCTTTTGAGAAAACCCATCAACCAACGTCGTGTAAGTACGCTCATTCGGACAAAGACCTCTACCCCGCATCTGATCAAGAAACTCAGTAGCCCTGTTCATATTCCCAGCCTTACACATACTATGTATCAACGAAGTATAAGTAATAACACTAGGTGACAACCCATGTCTCAGCATCTCCGCATGCATCACAAGAGCTTGATGAAAATTACCTTCTTTACAATAACCTTTAATAAGCGTATTATACGTAACTTCATCAAGCGAATACCCTCTCTTATTCATCTCCGTAAGCACAAAACTTATCTCCTTCATCCTCCCTTCTCTACATAACCCGTTAATAACGACATTATACGAAATCAAATTCGGCTCCAAACCTTTTAACGCCATTGATCTCAAAAGCTCAAACCCATCATCAATCTTACGCAACTTACAATACCCATCAATCAAAGTATTGTAAGTAACAACATTAGGTAAACAACCTTTCTTCTCCATTCGATCGAAAAACCGCAGAGCAACATCTAAATTCCCAGCTAAACAAAACCCTCTAATCAAGATATTGTAAGTAAACACATTAGGGGAAACTTGGCTTTCCAACATTTCTTTAAACACATTCTCAGCAAAACTAATGCTCCTCTTAGATCTAATCGTAGAATCTAAAACCGCATTGTACGACAAAACTCCAGGCATAAAGCCATGAGCTTGAGATAAACGAACAATACTCAAAGCCTTATCAATCAAACTCAAACGAGAGTAAGATTTCACTACCAAATCAAAAACAGAGGAAGTTGAATTACACAAATCGTAAGTCTCTTGTAACGAACGGAAGACGAGAGAAGCGTCTTCGTCGTCTAGGGTTTTGGATGCGACATCTTCGGCGAGGGTTTGAGCTGTTTTGTAGAGTTTGAATCTTGTGAGGATGTGAAGAGTGATGCATTTGCAACGGAGAGTGAAGAATTGATGTGGGTTTGCCCAAGTTAGGAACTTGAGGATTAGTTCTTGATTGTTTTGAGATTTGAGGAGGAGATTTGAAGCTGCTTCTGGAGTGAAATTTGCAGAGAGATGATGGAGTTGGTATGGATGACGTTTGAGAAAGGTTAAAGCTTTATCGGCGAGAAGTGAATCTGAAGGAGAAGAAGTGAAGGTTGAGAGAGATCGTCGAATTAGGGTTTTAGTGAGAAACATTTACGAGGTTTAATTTAGGGTTTTAGGAAGAGAAATGCTCGAAGAAGAAGAAGACGATGAAGATGATGCACAATTGATCTCAGCCGTCCGATCATTCTTCATCTGTGGCTTTATTTTATTATAATAATGAAATTCTATTACATTATTATATTCTCTAAAGTCGTGTTTTTATTTTTTACGTTTATGGTTCTTATCATCAATGGGGATCATGCGAGTTCTTAGAGAAAATATAATGTTAAAATAATGTAAGATCATGTGTTTAGATCTTTTGTTTAGAAGTTGATTAGTGGAAGAACATGTGTAAGATCTTAAGATTTAATAATATAATAATCTACAAATTTTAAAACATATTACAATTATTAAAACATTTAAAAATAGCATATAAATTGCAAACTTTAAAAACTGAAAATAAAAGTGAAAATACAATACTAGGCCGGAAAACTCACCTTTTGTCGGAGAAGATGGGGGTCGCAAAAATCGCCGCTTCAGCCAAAAAACCCTAGGTCGTTTTCGATTTTGGGTGAAATGAAAATTGTGTCTCCTATCCCTTTTCTTCCAACCAATGCCATCTCGCCACGTCACCCCCGCAACACAAAGAAGAAATGATCCAGGATGAGAGCGGGCAGGCTGATCTTAAGCCCATAAGCCCATTATTTTGGATTAAAAAAGGTTTAGATCAGGAGGGTGGTCCTGCAATGTAGATGGTCTTAGGGCATATGCAAGGGTGCATCTTTGAAGTTTGATCTTAAGGGGAAAAAAATATTAAAATATTGTAAGAGCTTTAATTAAGATCTTTTGTAAAGTAATTGATTATTGGTAAAACATGTTTAGATCATATGAATTAATAATTTAATAATCAAAAACTTTAAATGTTTTTTAAAAATTAAAAAAATTATTTTCAAAATTGAAAACATTAAAAACTAAACTTATATAAAATTGATTTGAAAATAAAAAGAAACACAAAATACAAATGAAAAACATTAAAGATATAAATGAAAAACATAAAAACAAACAAACATATTAATTAAAGGTTACAAACATTTTATTTAATTAATACAAAGTTAAAAAGACTTATTAATTAAAGAAAAACGTAACCAATCAGACTTCGCCACGTCACCACAAGAACAGACTTAAAAACTGTGGCTTTCGTCTGAAGATCACTCTCAGAGACGTTACCACAAATAGTTTTTGATTGTTATGCCTTTCATAGGAAGAATAGATCAATGCAATGAAGAAGCATTGACACCTTCTCATGAAAAGAAAGTTGAGCGAACAATCATCACCGTCATCAACAGAAGCAAAAAATACAATGGCGGAATAAAAAATGTATAGATTTTTTTTTCAATTAGTTAATACTTAATCATTATCTAAGTGTAATCGTAATCCCTTTGATAATGAATCTTTGATGCAATAGCACAATGACGTTGCATTACTTTTTTTTAATCTCTTATTTGAAAGGTTGCATCGCAAAACTGAATCTCTCTAGAGAAAATATTCAAGGTCTCTTAATCAGATTTTTTTTTTTTAAATAATGTATCTTAATTAGAAAAGCCTAAATTTCTTGTCTTTTTTGTTGTTGTTGTTGTTACATACTTATATGTATTTATTTGACAAAACTGTTTACTTTCAAGAAAATAGAACCATAACTTTCACAAACGGAAAGCAAAATTTGACAATATGATGGTAATTGCTTCACGTTGATCTTCTAGCTTACCAATGTTGCATGAGGTGCTGGTTGAACAGAGAAGGGTGATGTTGTATCGAAGAGATTTGAGTTCTAGTTTAGAAATTCGTATTATAGTTTTCTTTCTTTTGTTTCTTTTAATTATGTCAAATCAGTTTTCTTTTTATTTTTCAACCTTTATTGGTTAGTCAAAGATTCATTGCAATCGAATATATATATATATAAACATATATATATATATCATTTTTTTTCTTGTAGATACATTAGCAATTGTTGTTATGTGATATATTTTCATTTAAAATAATTTTTTGAATTAACATTTTCGTGGTTAAATAAACCATATAAAAGTAAAAATTAAAAAACATATAGTTGGCTCAACGCGTTTATAGAGACATTTTGTAGATGGTGGTAAAGAGCATACTTCAACAGTAAAATACATTTATGTGTAAAAACACATTCTTTTTGGTAAAGTATAAATAGATGACGGTTTGACCGGTAATTTGCATATAAAACATTTTTTGAAAAACTGTGAAACTATATTTTAGAAGAAATTGCGAATTAATGTATTAAGGCGGAAAATATATAAATAACTCTTTGCTCTAAAAATCTATGTTTACTTCATAAAGTTAATTTTTATTTACAACAAAGTTTTAGTATATTTTGTTTTTGTTAAATTTCATTTTATTTAAAAGTTTTAACCCTAATATATACATGTTTGAATACGTCAAAGTCAAGGAGACGAGTGATTGTTGACTTATACCTCTCCGTTAAAGCTTGAGCACCTTCTTCGTCATCTCTGGTCACTCTCCGTTTGGCGCCATGTCAGCCTTGTCTGTGATCGAACAACGATTGTTAAAGTGGGACAAGCTCGCGTCTTTAGTACCCAAACCAAAGAAACCTCTGTTTCCGATTGATCGTCTTAACGAGCTTTTGAAAGCCTGTGCTAATTCAAGTTATCTAAGAACTGGAGAATCGATTCACGCTCATTTGATTGTTACCAACCAATCATCTACAGCTAAAGACGTGTATCAGACCACTTCTCTGATTAATCTCTATGTGAAATGCAGAGAAACTGTTCGTGCACGCAAGGTGTTCGATTTAATGCCTGAGAGAAATGTTGTTTCTTGGTGTGCGATGATGAAGGGTTATCAAAATTCTGGGTTTGATTTTGAAGTTTTGAAGCTTTTTAAAAGTATGGTTTTTTCTGGTGAATCGAGACCTAATGAGTTTGTAGCTACTGTGGTTTTTAAATCTTGTTCAAGCTCTGGGAGGATTGAAGAAGGTAAACAGTTTCATGGTTGTTTTCTTAAATCTGGTTTGATGTCTCATGAGTTTGTACGGAATACTCTTGTTTACATGTATTCTTTGTGTTCGGGCAATGGAGAGGCTATACGAGTTTTGGATGATCTTCCTTATTGTGATCTTTCTGTGTTTAGTTCAGCTCTTAGTGGTTATTTAGAGTGTGGTGCTTTTAAAGAAGGGGCTGAGGTTTTGAGAAGGATGGCTAAGGAAGATTTGGTTTGGGACAACATTACGTATTTGTCTTGTTTACGGCTTTGCTCCAATCTTAGAGATTTGAATTTGGCTAGGCAGATTCATAGCCGAATGGTGAGGTTTGGTTTCAACTCTGAAGTTGAGGCATGTGGTGCAATCATTAATATGTATGGGAAATGTGGTAAAGTCCTATATGCGCAGAGAGTTTTCGACAATACACACGCTCAAAACATTGTCTTGAATACAACGATAATGGATGCTTACTTCCAGGATAAGTCTTTTGAGGAAGCTCTGAATCTGTTCTCAAAGATGGACACTAAAGAGGTTCCCCCGAATGAGTACACCTTTGCTATTTCGTTGAATTCAATTGCAGAGCTTTCCCTTCTAAAACATGGCGATCTTCTACATGGGCTTGTTTTAAAATCTGGTTATAGGAACCATGTAATGGTGGGCAATGCATTGGTTAACATGTACGCTAAAAGTGGCAGCATTGAGGATGCAAGGAAAGCATTCTCAGGCATGACTTTTAGAGATATAGTTACTTGGAACACAATGATATGTGGATTCTCACATCATGGATTGGGGAGGGAAGGGCTTGAAGCCTTTGATAGAATGATGATTGCTGGAGAGATTCCCAATCGCATAACTTTTATCGGCGTTTTGCAGGCTTGTAGCCATGTTGGTTTTGTGGAGCAAGGGCTTTATTACTTTAATCAGCTAATGAAGAAATTTGATGTTCAGCCTGATCTACAGCATTATACATGCATTGTTGGACTTTTGAGCAAGGCTGGAATGTTCAAGGATGCTGAGGATTTCATGAGAACAGCTCCGATTGAATGGGACGTTGTTGCGTGGAGAGCTTTGCTAAATGCTTGTTATGTTCGCCGGAATTTTAGTTTAGGAAAGAAGGTAGCAGAATATGCCATTTATAAGTATCCAAACGATTCTGGAGTTTACGTGTTGTTATCCAATATCCATGCCAAGTCAAGGGAGTGGGAAGGCGTGGCAAAAGTGCGTTCTTTGATGAATAATAGAGGTGTTAAGAAGGAGCCTGGAGTCAGCTGGATAGGGATACGGAATCAAACCCATGTGTTTCTTGCAGAGGAAAATCAACACCCCGAGATTACGCTGATTTATGCAAAGATTAAGGAAGTTTTGTCAAAGATTAGGCCATTAGGGTATTCTCCTGATGTTGCTGGAGTTTTCCATGATGTCGATGAAGAACAGAGAGAAGATAACCTCTCTTATCATAGTGAGAAGCTAGCTGTGGCATATGGTCTGATGAAAACGCCAGAGAACTCACCATTGTACGTGACTAAAAACGTGAGGATATGTGATGATTGTCACTCTGCAATTAAGCTTATCTCGAAGATCTCAAAACGATACATAGTTATCAGAGATTCCAATCGGTTCCATCATTTCCGAGATGGTCAGTGTTCTTGCTGTGATTACTGGTGAAGATATAAACCAAAGGTTGAACTAGTGTGACGTGGAGCTCTTGCGCCTCCTCTATTGCGGCCTCATGAGCTTTGGTTATCGTAAGTAGTAATAAAATAAGTTGCAATTCATTTTTTGAGATCCTTAGGCATCAATTTATAGGTGTAAATAGAGTCTAATAACACCTTTTGGCAGATTATTCATGTCTGTGACAATAATTTCCAATCTCATTGGTTTTTATGCTCTCACAAAGCTTTTAATACGGAAGTTTGGTAATTTTATACAAGGTGCTGAGACAACAATATTAACAGACACAATCTGAGAGCAAGAAGAAAAGAAAGAAGTGCAGAAATTGATAGATTGTTACTTGAGGAAATACGATTTCAGCAGAAGTTGTTCTCCATGAATTTCACAAATCCATAGAAATCGATTCTGCCGTCTTTATTTCCATCGAATGATCTGATCATTCTCCTGCAGTTCTCAAGGTTAGATCCTTGCTTTAAGCCAAGGATTGTCAAAACTCTCTGCAAATCTATTGGATCGATAAACCCATCTCTGTTTTCATCAAAAACATCAAAAGCTTGCTTCACTTCCTCCAAACTCGGCTCTTTCTCTTCAAACAGATTCGAAAGCTCCTCAAAACTGTACTGTTTTTGAAGTCCCTCGCTTTCTTGGTCGGTGGAAAGCCCTAAGCTCTTCATAACCATCCCTACATCTTCTCTGCAAAGACCATCATCGTCACGACATTCTTCGTGTTTGATCGATGTTTGGAACTCAAGATCTTTGCTCTTCTTCTCTGAAACACATTGCTGGTGTTGAACAAGAGGCCAAAACCTGGAGAAAAATGACTGAGCAAACGAAACCCATCTGAAAAAACCGATGAGGAAGAAGTTGATCAGACCAAACAAAGGGAAAGAAAAAGAAGAAGACTGTTTGCATTTAGACAATGAACTCTTCTCCATGGTTATAAAGCTATATAATTGGTTTTCAGTCATAACTTTTGTTAGATGGTTTATTTGGAAAAGTAAAACTAGGCAAATGAATGAATCACAAAGAAATGAATGTTTTTGTTGGAGATAAGAGTTTGTTTCATGGCTATGTATATATATAGATGATGAATAAGTCAATGTGGACACAGTTTTGGTGGAGAGGCAAAAGAGAGGAAGTTGCAGTTGGAAGAAGAGACCAAGAAGAAGGAAAAGGAAAGGAGAAACTTACAAAAAGACTTTTAGTATAAATAAATTAAGAGGAAATTTCTTCTGCACCTTTTGATGGGAGTTGTTTTTTGTACTTATTTGAAGGGAAGCTTGGTCATATGACTATTTTTTCTATTAATTTAGTTCTGTATTATACACACCTATACATTTTAGAATTAAGGTTTTGATTGGTGACCCCTTACATTGTTTAAAAAAACTAAAAAAGATGTAAAATTTTAAATTTGTCGTTGTGTCTTAAATATGATACAGTTTATGTTATCTTTTTGGTTTTATAGGTTTTTTTACATGTATTATTTGTTTTCTAAACATTTTATATATGTAAACCAAATTGACATACGAGATGAATGGTATACCACTTGTTCACGTTTAGAAAACGTGATTCCGCTAGTTTTTATCATTTATCAAATTTTCATATTTTTAAAAATGACTCCGCTATATACAACTAGCATGTTAACATATTATATATAAAAAATGCAAAACGTGATTAACGAAAACTAGTTTTGCAGTGTTTAGTTATTACTATTATTCCGCTATTATTGGATAAAACTTGGAGAGAAGAATGTGTAATTAAAGTTATACATCTTTCTCTTCAAGTTATATCCAATAGTTATTTCTCTAACATTTCAGACAGACCCATATTTTTTGTCATGGTTTGAATTGTCGTATAGTGTGGTTCAGTTCATTCTTACTAGCCTTGACAAATTTTTATGCAAAATTACAAAATTTCATATGTGAATAGTTTCCTTTGTTTTATGCAAATGTTTCAGATGGAACTTTCGTATAAATTTTGCCAAGACTAGTAAAGTAAGGCAGAGAAGTAAAGTAAGACGCACGTAGACTAAGAAAAACATAAAAAGCAAATGAAATTTTCTTATAGCTAATTCCCACAATTAAGTAATCGTTTGCTCACCATAATTCGTGACTTGTTTGACCAAACGTTGGAAATCAATTAAATGATGACTAATTCAATACTCGTATATGTTGTGGGCATGAAAAAGACTAACACGAATTAATGTCACAATTGCAACTAATTTCCTTAGTAAATTTCCTGGAAATTGCAAGTGAACAAACAAGTTAGTGGCTTTCTTTTTCTTTTGGCGTTTTTCATAAACTTCTTTTACATTTAATATAATATCAAAATGTTCTTTCATTGGTTGTTTTGGTCAATATGAGATAAATCTTCTATTGTAGCTGACTTTGTCAATCCAATTAGTGTGGGTTCTTTATCAAAATTATATTTTTTAATACTAGATTATATATACAAATATCGTACATCTGTAGTTGGCAGCTTGCGATATTTTCTCTTCATGCATCTACACATTGCTTATGTTGTCAAGAGACTCTCTCCATTTATGCATCAATCAAAATTTTGACCATTAGCTTGCAGTGAAGAGGGTGTTTGCGTTATTTTCTCGGTAATCGTGATCGCGGCTTGCTATTTTGGGACTTGGTTCATTTCATTTTTGGGTGATGATAAGGCTGGTTATAAGGATGACTACACGTCTACTAGAGCAAACCTTATTTACCATGGTAAACACTTGATATCATGGTCATCTAAGAAGTTAAAGACAGTGGTTCGCTCTATTATGAATGCTCTAATTAGATTGTGAATCTATGACATTGGAAAAGCCCAACACAAGTCGTCAAGTCAATGTAATTAGGTTATCTAAGCAAGTAGTCTCTTATATATATATATATATTTATAGTCAAGTAATGAAAACTTTGATGGTAACTTTGAAAGTTGTCTCAAAACAATTCTCCTTCTTCATCTTTATAAAACCATTAATTTTGAATCATTGTGTTCTTGGTGACTAACAAAGTAATCTTTCTTCTTTTAGTTTCTTTGCATAATAAAGCTCTTCATGAGCTATCTAAGTTCTTAGTTTATTTCTATCTTTTTTTTCTTTTTTTTTTTTTTTTTTTTTTTTTGTAAACCAGTTTATTTCTATCTTAATAAGCTCTTTAAGAGCATAAATCTTCTTACTTTGAGGTTGCTTACACGCTTCTCCGCAGAAGCCAGAAACAAGTTTGTTTGCTGCCACTACTTCTGAAGTCCAATGAGTTAACTTACTTTCAAGTTAAGCATGATTCTGAAAGTCATTCATCATTTGGATATCAAAAACGTTCTTTGAAACATTGTCTGTGAACATACAAAGTCATGATCGACAACAAAGTAGATTTAAAAGCTCACTAAAGAAAGATTAATTAGAATGGAAAATAAGTTATTTCTTGCAAGATTTATTTAACTACAGTTTTGAGGTTTTTTCATTTATGATACAACAAACTTTTTCACTCTGCAACCCAAAAACTACTTATCCCTCACTATGTCAACCATTATATATACACAAACATGTGTGCATATATATTTATATATAGCTATATGTACAAAAGGACTCACCTGCTTTCTTGGAACACAAGACTGAACCCAAAAACAATCAAATCAGCTGCTTAAATTCATCTCCTTTTTATGAGCTCTCATGGAAGTTTGCTGACCTAGAAAGAGCAGCAGGATTTGCTTGCAACTCCGCTCGTCTTCCCGGAAGTTTTCCTTCAGAAAGACTGCTTTTTTCTTTGGTTGATGATCTAAAAGCTCCGAAAGTATCCGCATTTTCATCTTTTTTGATCCCTAATGTTTCCCAGATGGAACTTTTAGCAGCTTCCTCTGGATCATCGACCCTCAGCGTCTTGGGAACCCACAAGCATCTCTCCGGTTTGCTTTTCTCTCTACCAAGTGACTCGGTTTCTTCGAAAGTGGCTCCTGGTTCAGCAGCGTTCTCATCACGGGAATGTTTACCTAGTGTGGGAGAATTTGGACCGGAACCAGATGGTGAATTGGGTTGTGGCATCCATGTGAAGCTGTTCCATGTCCCCGGTGAAACCCCCGGGCAGCTCCAGTAAGCAGGTGGAGGATAAAACGGTAAAACCGTCCATGAAACTCCGTTCCAAGCGTATGGCCAAGCTGGTGGTGGTCCTGGAAAGCATGGAACTTTTGGTAATGGGCTGACTGTTCCGGCCTCTTCGTTTGACGGGTTTAAAGGAACCGTAATCTTCAAACCTTCATTGGGTTCTTGCAACACAGTTTGTGTCTTCAACATTGACTTCTCAGCAAGATTCAATCCAGAAGCCATAGATTCACAGAGGACCGAATCAGAGCCAAAAGTGAGCAGATTTGCACCATTAGCATGTTGAAGATCGGTTCTTGCCGCCTTCTGCATAGCTTCCGCAGATGTTATGCTTACATGACGATTATAATGAGAAGCCGGACTCTTGTTCTTGCGTCTCCCTGCACCAACCGGAACATTCCTCATCGTTCCACCCGCTGTCCAATACCTCTGACATTTCTTGCAGAAATGGCGAGGCTGGTTAACATTATAGTTGTTGTAGTAACAGAACTTGGTTTCCATGCTACTACATCGCGGGCACGGCAGAATTTTGTCGGGTTTCTTTAGCTTCGCCTCTTGAGAGCAAGCAGTACCACCCGTCTCATTCTGTGACGACTCTTCTTTCGTCTTTGCAGCTGTAGTCTCCGTTTTTTCGGTTATACCCGATGTAGTATTAGTAACATCATTAGATTCATGCCTCAATGACTCTTCCTGACACTCATTATCTTTTTCTTCCTGAAAACAACATAAAAAGTGATACTCATTAGAACCAAACTAAGATCATTGTTCTGTTTCCTAATCAAACAAACAACAAACAGAAGCAGAAAAACATCAAACAATGTATCCATACAAAGAAACTATACTAAATCAGAATAAACCCTAAATGTTCTTCAGCAAATTCAATATCAAGAACTTCACCATCAAATCAAAACCAAATGAAACTGATTGAGAGATCTCAAATCACTTTATATAAAAAAAAAAAAAAAAAACTAATTTGATAATCCAGATTTACATTTTTAGAATCCCCAAAAGCTGTGAAAACCTAGTTCAACATAAACAAACCAAAAATCACAACTTTTTCATAAATACTAAAATTTTGACAAATCTAACATCAACCCATCAATCATTTCCATTTAACAAATCATGGGTAATCTTCAAAAACAAACCTTTTTATCACTCTCGCTCTCTCCCACACCGCGAGAACCATCACCACCACCATCATCATCACCTCCTCCTTCTCCTCCTAAAATGGAATCACCCATCTCATCATCATCTCCGGTACACGAATCTGATAACCGAACAGGATTCTGATCTTGAGTTTCGGTTAAAACTCCGGTATAGCTAGAACAAGAATCAACAACAACAACAGGAAGCTCAGGTAAAGGAATCGTCTTCCCAAAGAGCTTAATCGCCGGATCAGCCATGAATGATTCTTTTTTCACTTCTCCAGCGAGAAAAAAGCGGAAACTTTTGAGAAGAAAGAGGAAAAAAGTTACAATTTTTATTGTTTAAAGAGAGAAAAGAGAGAGAGAGAAACGACTGTCTTGTTATCGGTGGTTGTCTGAGTTTTTTTTTGATAGATTTGTTAATTGGAATGGTTTTGGTGTTTGCGAAAGAAAGAAAAAGATTACAGTTTTTGCTTTTTGGGTTTGTGATCTTTCGAATTGTACAACCTTTTGATTCGCCCAGAGTGCCACGTCATCACACGTGAAGATTCTTAGCCACAAGTTTTTTTTTGTTTTTGTGGACTTTTTATGTTTTATAGAAAAAGGGTTCTCTTTTTCGTCTCTTTTTGGCTTTCTTTTTATTTTCCTTTTCAATCTGGTCAGTGGTCAGCACTTTTTTTACTTTTACTTTTTCTCCATTTTTTAACTTTTTATTTTACAAGTTTGGGAAAAATTTTTAATTCGGTTTACAAAAATGTAAAAAAAATTATATTTAATCATAGTAAGCTTGTAAAAAAGTTAGAAAAATTATGATTAAATATAAATTTTTATAAGTTAGGAGTATAAAAATATAAGCATTTTACTAAAAATTAGGAGTATAAGTTACTAATACAATGCTTATATTTTTTTATTTGATAATGTATATTGGTTGAGTTACCATAAATACGAATAAATAGATCAAAAAAACTTAGAAAAAAAAAAACAAATTCAAGGGAGATTGACTAAATTAACACGGGACATTAGGAGACAAAAAAACGTAAAAAGAATATAAAGAGATTAGAAAGAGAAGCATGCACTAAAATGAGAGAAAGTAGCCACAACCCTCAAATATCAAAAGCGGTTCAAATCCGAGAACTGAAATTGATCCGACAATGAAAAAAAATCCATCAAAACCCAAAATTAAAGAGATATATTCAAATATATTTTTGTTGGAAATATTTTAAATATTATCTTTGATAAGTTTATGGTGTTCAACCTATTTTTCTCTCATTTACATTCCAAATTAGAAATTAAGTAGTAAATCACCTAGCAAAACAAGTATGGTCTCTTACCATTTTTTGAAGCAATTCTCTCCTCATATTAACCAGATTAGATCCACAAGACCAGAACTAAGAAGATCAAAAGAAAAAAAAATTTAGTATTTTACCCCAAAAAAAGCAATCTGTGTCTTCAAACAAATTCATTTTACATATTGATATATATAAGTTTTTTTGTGCTGATTAGTATTAGTATAGTATTTAGTTACATTAGTTTTGGTACTTTTAAAAATAAGATAATAACATTGAAATCCAAACATCGAGTTTTCTTTTTCAACAACTCCAAACATTAGTTTTTTATATTTTTGAAGCGACAAGTATTTAGTGAATCTTCAGTATTTTTCTCTCTTTTTTCCTTTTTCTTGACATAAATCTTCAACATATCAGAGATACGTGGCTGTAATAAGTCGATGTTAGAAGTTGTGGTTACTAATGAATGCCAAGTCGATTTGGAAAAAGTGCAATAATATGTGGATAAGTATTTGGACGCCAAGCCTTAACATAGAAAAAGTGCAATTATGTGGATAAGTATATGGTACCTTTATTTCAGACCACCCCAAATCCCAAATATATAATAAAGTTTTTTCATTACATTTATTATATTATCCCACTTGGAGGCACGACTGATAAAGATTCTTTAAGAAACATATTTTATCATTTTCCGACTGTTGTTCCCCGAAGTAAAGAAACGTTATTCAGTTTTGTTTTTTAGATTAGCATTTTTCGTATAAAAAAAGTATCCTTGATGTATCATATGACATAAACATTTTCGAACTAGAACTTGAATGAACTATATTGTAAAAGTTGGCTAAGTTCATAAAGACACTCTTGGTGAAAAAGAGATTTTATTGATTAACTAAAACATGGTGTTCGACGAATATTACGAGATTGATTAGAACAAATTTTCATATGGTTACTAGGAAAAAAACATTGTATATTTCATCATTGCTAAATAGGTAGATTTGTTATCCTCATATTTGTAGAAAATTTGTGGATCAAGTTATGCTTTAATTTACCGGCTAATTTGTTCAAAATTAAGAATTTTTTTTTTCATTTATCGGCTAATTTTTTTTCTTTCATATGAATGAAATTTTTGACATAATATCAAAGCATAACCATATACTGATATACATACTATTCCAACCTTTTTGATAAGTGATGTTTTAGGAGAATGCATATAGATTAAGAAATTATTTAATTTTTGTTTATTTTTAAACTAAAACATCATTTATTATCTAATCAACCAATAAAAAAATAATCTACAAAATATAAATCGTCAAAACCAATTAAAAAGTAATTATTTTACATTGAAAATTAAAATTAAACATCATCTATTTAAGAACAAAATTAGAAATTTATAACATCACTTATAAAAGAACGGAGGGAGTAGTATTTTGGTTTGTTTGATCCCTCACATACTTGATCTCTCTTCTTTTTTATTTTGTCTTTTTTTCTTCTGATCTTATATTGTGTCAATTTTCTTCTTGTTGGTCGTTGATAACGTTTGTTCTTTTTTGCATATTGATATCATTGAAAAAATGCCGCATGAACAAATTAAGAAATTTTTTTTAATCAGTTTATCAAAAAATCAAGACAATAAACACTACGTGAAACTATATACAATTCATTCATCCCGACCAAAAAAAACTATATACAATTCATTCATGGGTTGATAAGCTCAAATCTAAAAACTCTTAAATCTAATATAATAAATAGACACAAAACAACAACGTGGAAAAAGACTTTGGGCCAACATGATATGGCCCACAACAAAAAGACAAAGCCCACGAAGACGTCACTACATCACGGACTCGATGGTAATTAATTGCATAGTTTAAGATCTAAACAAACCTAGTTTATAGCAGTGAACTTTCTTTTGTATTAATTTTTCTTCTGTTTGGCTAGGAAGTTTCGTTTATTAAAATTAACCGTTGGTGTGACATTGTTGAGGAAGATTTTACTATATCCTAATGTACTCATATCAAACAAGTCTAGATAGTTTCAACACAACATTTTTATTTAACAATACAATAGCTAAAACATAGTAGAACAATGGAGTTTCATTCAGATAATCTAAAGTACAAGGAAAATACGAGATAGATACTAAAATAAACCAAACAACATAAAAATGAAATTAATCAACCAGTCATGCAACCAACACCATATCGAGTGGTCGGAAAAACAAGAAACAAAGCACTACAAACAATTCCAACCATTATTGGAAAACTCTCCATAACTTGATCCATCTCTTTCTCTTTCCCTGGAAACAAACATCCCGTGACTCTTCGATCCGAAAACGCAATCGCCATGAACACCAAAACGCTCATCACTGCATGAACAAAGTCATTAACCCTCAACTTATACCTCTCATCAGTCACCGGAATCTCCGCCTCCGCTATCACATCTCCGCCTCCAAACTCCGGAGGCGGCGGTTTCATGAACACCGCGAGTCCACGTGGCGTCACGAAACCGTAGTAGATTTTTCCATCGGAGGCTTTGAAACTGTCGGTGAAATGGAAGAAGAAACAAGACATTGCGCAAAGAAGCAAGAGGAGATGAATCATGAGTGTGTTGATTCCGTTACAGTCTCCGTCACGGTAGATTGATGGAAGAACCATTTCGAACATCAAGAGTGTTCCTGTCGGAAGGAAGTTGACGAGCATTGATGTCTTCGAAACCGTTTTTTGAACTCCTTGCGCTACCATGCGACGTTTTCGACCTCTTCCTCCTCCGGCGGCGGCTCCTGCCGGAAGTGTAGGCAGTGAAGAGATTGAGACGGGTTTTGGTGAACGAGACGGTGGTGATGGTGATGGTTTTTGCGGTGGAGTCGCCGTGTAAACTCTGATTCCGACGCTTTCCTCTGTTTTCTCCATTTTTGTGTGTTTCTCTCTGTTCTTTGTGATTAAACAGTTTTTCGTCTGTTGTGTGAAATGGTTTGATGGAGAATGAGAGTTTTGTATTTATTTTTAAAATCACGGCGGTTATTGACGGTTATAGAGTTTCATCGGACGACGGTTTATGTGGGAAATGTTTTCGAATTTTTTGCTTTCTCTCTGATATTAACAAACCACGTGGAACCAATAAAATTGGTGAAATGGGCTTCAAGTCCATGATTTGGCCCAACCAAGCCTGGGTTATTAAAGAAATTTTTTCCAAAAGTATTATTCAATAAAATGAAACATTACTTAAGAGATGATTCTGTTTGTCTGTTTTTTTTTTTTTTTCTGTTTGTCTGTTGTCTGTTGTCTGTTGTCTCTAATATGTAGGCTTGATTAAGAAACTATAAACCATATTTATATTCGAATGTTCTTATGGAAAGCTATTTGGAGATGGACAAACCTCAAGTACCACAGCTTCGTTAACCATGTTAGAGCATCTCCATCATCGGTCAGACACTGTGTTGAGTGTCTGACAAATAAAATAATATTAATTTTTTTTATTATTTTATTATTTAATTGTTTATTTAAACCAATCAGAAGAAGACAACTGTAAAAATGGGTGTCTTAGAGTTTATCATTTGAGAAACGTTTCTGTCCTCTCTCCTCCTTTTTTAATTTTTTATTCTGTTTTATTGGAGAATGTCTCACATAGACACTCCCAATGGAGATGGTCTTAGTGCGTATCAGATGTAATTATATTAAGTTTATTAGACTATATATATAGATGTAACCAAAAGATAGAACCTTGAAGGAGGCTTCAAACCTAAGTGTCCCTTATATATTAGAGAATTTCACTTCAAAATTTTGAATGGATAAGATTTTTTTTTTTTTTTGAAAAACTCTACCAGCTCCGGTAGAAACGCACCGAAGTGCTTTAGAGTGGACTTTTCTCCGAAGGGCAACCATACTATCTGTCCCGAGTTCGGAATGCTTTTCGACTAATGTCAGGGGTACCCAGATCGCTTGTTACTGGACTACCAAGTAAACTGCTTGCGCCTTTTGCCCAAACCCAGACTTTCCACACAGATGTGTTTTTTA